GTAGGGCTTTTTGCTATATTAGTATTCAAAAAACATTTTTTCCTGAAAGTGACTCTGTACAGTTCAAGCTTAAAAGGTAAAGGGATGAAATATTTATTTTAGATAAAGCCTTAAAATAAACAAGCTTCAAAATAATTTTTAAATCCAGTGCTTTATAAAACCAAAATAATTAAAGATACAAGCTGTTCATTGAGCTATTTTTTTCTGTGTAAAGGCTCAGATGTTCTGTCCATTTCTAATTTCTGTGATAATTTCTAAGAAATTTAGTTTGCTTTGAAGGTGTTCAGAAGGCACTTTGAGTGAGATAAACACTAAAAAAAGACACCTTAGTTTCAAAAAGAGGAGAGAAAAAAGTTGAGTGGCATACATCCTACATTTTTTAAGCTTTAGCTGCATTAAACAAATTATAAATATTATAAAACTGGTAATGTTACAAAAATTACACAGATGAGAATATCTTTTATTCAAGAAGATCCAAAAATGTTAAAGATACTCAGTAACTATTTTCTTTTAGCATACCCAGTGTTTTATCTTTTCACTCAAATTACCTGTTTCATGGTATTTAACCTGAAAATATATTGAAAGTTTATAAAATGACATTTTCTTGTTAAATAGCTGCTAATGACATTTTGTAATTCAGGGCTTGTCTACAAGGGAACTGGAACTGCAAAAACTACATCACATCTGCTGCAAGTCTCTGGGTGAAAATATTTCAGAATAAGAGCACCTTTGTTTTAGCATAGCTAGCTTAATTCAGCTTTTTACTTAAGTCATACCAAAATAGTGCTTCTAGACAGAGACTAACTAAAGGTATGAATCAAAATGGTTTTAGTTGTTTTGGTTTCATCTTCTATATAAACAACACACAGTCAGTTGAGGCACTAATGAAATAAATCAATTTTATCATAAAATATCTAATTCAAAGGTAGTCAATAGTCAAACCACTCACCAAATCCATATGACCAGATAATTTTGAACAGATCCCCTATCCTTATTATTTACTTATTATTATTATTAGTTTCTCTGGAATTTGGTCACTGTACTTTGACCAAAATGTGGAACTTGACAAAAAACTATTATCACTGATGGGAGACCTTATGAAAGGATAAAGAGAGAACATTTGGCTGGGAACTGAAAGTTTCTAATAGATATCAGGGTAGAATTATTTCCAATTGGAAAAATGAAATTGATTTAAATAATTACTTTCACTTTATTTTTCACCACTGATCATTTTAATTAGCAGAATAGAGACATGAGTCATAAAAATTAGGGCTGTCAAATTATTAAAAATTGTTATTAATCACAGTGCTAAACAATGATAGGATACCATTTATTTAAATATTTTGGCTGTTTTCTACATTTTTCAAATATATTGATTTCCATTACAACTCAGAATATAAAGTGTACAGTGCTCACTTTATATTTATTTTTATTACAAATATTTACTGTGAGAAAACCAAAAATAGTGTTTTTCAATTCATGTAATACTAGTACTGTGGTGCAATATCTTTATCATGAAAAATTGAACTTACAAATGTAGGTACATATAGGTATATACAAAAAATAACTGCATTTAAAAATAAAATCATGTAAAACTTTAGAGCCTGCAAGTCCACTAAGTACTATTTCTTGTTCAGCTAGTTGCTCAGCTAAACAAGTTTAGTTACAATTTGCAGGAGATAATGCTGCCTGTTTACAATGTCACCTGGATGTGTGAACAGGCATCCACATGGTGCTGTTGTAGCTGTTGTAGATGGCATTGCAAGATATTTATATGCCAGATGTATTAAAGATTCAAGTATCCCTTTATGCTTCAACCACCATTCGAGAGGATTTGTATCCATGCAGATGATGGGTTTGGCTTGATAATCCAAAGCAGTGCAAACAGACATGCTAATTTTCATCATCTGAGTCAGATGCCACCAAAAGAAGGTTGACTTCTTTTTTTTTTTGGTGGTTCCGGTATTGTAATTTCCCCATCAGAGGTTTGATCTATTAAGTCTTCTGATAGCACGTTCCATGCTTCTTCCCGCTCAGATTTGGGAAGGGACTTCAGATTATTAAGCCTTGAGTCGAATTCTGTAACTGTCTTTAGAAATCTCACTTTGGTGCCTTCTTTGCATTTTGTAAAAATTGCAGTTAAAGTGTTCTGAAAATGAACAAGTTTTACATCATCCGAGACAGCTATAAAATCAAATATATAGCAGAATGCAAGTAAAAAAAACAAAACAAAACAGGAGGTATACTGTTCTCCCCAAAGGTGTTCAGACATAAATATAATTAACACATTTTAATGAGTATCATCAGCATGGAAGCATGTCTTTTTGAATGGTGTCTAGAACATGGAGAGCCATACCAATGCTTAGCATATTTGGCACATAAATACTTTGCAACACAAGCTATAATAGTGCCATGTGAATGCCTAGTCTCACTTTCAGTTGCTATTGTAAGTTAGAAGCAAACAATATTAAGTTTGAGTGCAGTTATGTCCGAAAATCTACATTTGGAAGTTTAATTTGCACAATAAGGAGATTACACTACAGTACTTGTATGAAGTGAATTTAAAAATGTTACTTCTTTTTATTGTTGTACAGTGAAAATATTTGCAATGAAAATAACATAACATGATCACTGTACACCTTTTATTCTGTGTTGTAATAGAAATCAATATATTTGAAAAATGTAGAAAACATTCACAAATATTTAATGTCAATTAGTATTCTGTTGATTAATGGTGCTGATTTTGGTGACCTGCAGCCAGCCCGTGGGCCACTTATGGCCCACCTCTGATCTAGACTGCTAGATTGAGTCCCCTTTGCTATACAGATAGGCTCAACCTATGGCTGGCCTTCCCCACAAAGAATGAAAAATAAACACACACAGAAAGATTAGCTTCCCAGAATTTGAACTGTCAGCTGCCTGCTTTACATACAAAAGTTATCTATGCCTTTAATCCTTAGTAAAGAGAGCATTTAGAATTGTAGAAGAGGAAGTTACTGACCTTGTGCAGTAATGATGGTTCTCCGAGGTGTGTCCCCCGATGGGTACTCCACTCTAGGAATCGGTCTCGCCCCATGCTGCAGGTTGGAGATTCATAGCCGTGGTTCAGCCGCACCGCACATGTGTGGCGGAGCATGCTGTTCGCACTATTTGCAAGTCTGCACGTGGTTTGGCTCCTGCCAGTTCCTCCTGATCTGTCACTCCTGAAAAATATAAAGAAGAGACTCCGAAGCGAGGAGGAGGGCAGGTCGTGGAGCACCCCCAGGGACACACACCTTGAAGAACCATTGTTACTGCACAAGGTAAGTAACTTCCTCTTCTTCTTTGGTAGTGTCCCTGTGGGTGCTCCACTCTAGGTGAGTACAGAGCAGTACCCTCATTTACAGAGGTGGGATTGGATTTAGGAGCTGGTTGCTGTGGACAGCACTGTGGAGGCCAGCGCTGATTCTCGAGCAATAGTGTTGAACGCATAATGCTTAGCAAATATCATGTCCGAAGACTGTGTTGCCATACAGTGAATATCTTGCATTGGGACACCTTTAAGGAAGGCCATTGAGGTAGATGTTGCCCTGATGGAATGAGCATTAATTGATGTAGGCAGGGGCCTGCTGCGTAGTGAGTAGCATGTTGTAATACATTTTACAATTATCTTAGAAATGCGTTGTGAAGACAGTGATTAGCCCTTGGTTAGTTCATCAGAACATAATAGAAGTCGCTGCGACTGATGGAAGGTACCCTCTTAAGGTAGAAAGCCAAGGCTCTGCGAATGTTTAAGGTATGTAAGCGGGCTTCATGAAGGGAGGTATGTGGTTTGGGGTAGAATGTTGGGAGTATGATAGGCTCATTGATGTGAAATTCTGAGTTCACCTTCGGCAAGAAGTTGGGGTGGGATTGAAGTATTACTCCCTGGCTGGTAAAAACAGTATATGGTGGGTTGGCTGAAAGGGCAGCCAGTTTGCCCACCCGTTGAGCCGACGTTATAGCTAGGAGGAAGGCAACTTTCATAGTGAGTGTAGGGATGTTACAGGTAACTAAGGGCTCGAACGGTGGATAGGTTAGGGTTTCCAGCACTAGCTCCAGCTCCCAGGGGGTATAGATTTGCTAGGCCTTTCAAAAGGCATTTGGTCATCAGGTGGGCAAATATTGAGAAATCTTTGATTGAATGTCTAAATGCAGAGATCGCCGAGAGGTGGACTTTGATGGATGAAAGTCCCAATCCTGAGTGGTGCAAGTAAAGCACATAGTCCAGAATGCAATGGATTGGAATGGATGCCACATAGAGGTTATTTGTTAAAGACCACAAATGAAAACAACACCATTTATAAAGTTTGTTTTGTGCATGGAATTGTAACTACTATACATTAGCACTTGTTTCACCTCTTGGGAGCAGAGGATTTCTGAGATATGGAACCAGGTAAGAGCCATGCCATTACGTGTAGCCAGTCAATTTGGGAACGTGGCATTGACAGTCCTGGTTGCGTCAGAAGGTCAACTGGTATGGGGGTTGGAGAGACATTTGCAGAAGGAGGGGAAGCCATATCTGTCTGGGCCAGTATGGAGCTATGACTATGGCTCTGTCTTTGGTTATCTTCTTCAATATCCTTGGAAGAAGTGGAACTGGTGGAAAGGCATAGAGTAGATGGTGACCCCAGTTTATCAGAAATGCACCCCTGAAGGATCCCGGCCCCAGACCCGCTCAGGAGCAGTACTTTGGGCATTTTGCATTGAGATGTGTTGCGAAGAGGTCTATAGTGGGGTATCCCTATCGTTGAAATATGGATTAGGTTACCTCTGGGTTGAGTTCCCATTTGTGCTGGGGGAAAAATATGTCTGCTCAAGGCATCGGCAATCGTGTTGTCCTTGCCAGGGAGGTATGTGCCCACAATGGTAACTCTGTGGTATATACACCAGTTCCATAATTTCATGGCTTCTGCGCAGGGGGACCTGGATCTGGCACTGCCCTGGTGATTGATGTAGTAAACCATGGTAGTGTTGTCAGTAAAGATTTGAACCATCTGGCAGCGAATCTTTGATAGGAATGTCCTGCATACGTTGAATACTGCCCTGAGCTCTAGGAAATTATGTTGAAGGGCATCTTGTGCACTCCATTGACCTTGAGCATGCTCACCCTCGCAGTGGGCTCCCCAACCTAGCAGAGATGCGTCAGAAGTAATTTGAACCGTGGGTTGTGGCCAGTGGAACAGAACACCAGAGAGCATGTTGGCCTGAGAAGTCCACTATGTTAGGGATTGGCATAGACCGTTACTGTTCTGTGTACATCCTGATTGCCAGGACGATAAATTGATGCTAGCCACTATTGGAGGCATCTGTGGTGTAACCTCACATGTCTTACCACGTATGTCCATTTTTCCCATAAGTTGCAGACAGGTATGTATCGGCACCTTGGGACTGATAGAAAGTGTCTGCGTAAGGTTCTGTATTTTGTAGAATCTTTCCAAAGGAAGGTAGGCCCTGCCCATCATAGTATCTAACCTTGCCCCAATGAACTCGAGGGATATTTGTGGTATGAGCAAGGACTTTGGGACATTGAGTACAAGACCGAGAATCAAAAATAAGGCCCTTGTGACTTCGGTGGCACAAAGCGTGTGATCGTAAGTATTGCCTTGATCAAACAGTCATCCAGGTACGGGAATATCATAACGCCTTGGTGGTGTAGATACACAGCAACCACTGATAGCATCTTGGAAAAAATCCTGGGCGCTGATGATAGGCCGAATGGAAGAACCTTGTACTGAAAGTGCTTCATGCCTATGACGAATCTAAGAAAGAGTCTGTGTGCTGGGTGTATTGTCAAATGGAAATACGCATCCTGCAAATCGAGGAACGTGAATCAGTCTCTTGTGTTTGTCGCCGGGAAGATAGAAGCTAAAGTCACCATCTTGAATTTGTGTTTCCTGAGATACTGGTTGAGACCCCGAAGGTCTAGGATAGGCCTCCATCCTCCTGACTTCTTCCCGGTAAGGAAATAATGGGAATAAAATCCTCTGCCCTGGAATTGTTCGGGAACTCTCTCCACTGCCCCAATCTCCATGAGTCACATGACCTCTTATAATAAGAGAGTGTCATGAGATGGGTCCCTGAAAAGGGACAGGGTTGGGGGAAAGGTAGGAGGAAGAGACAGGAGCAGAATTGAGTATCCTGATGTTATCAATTCTCAATGGTCTGTGGTTATGGTAAACCACCTGAGTTGGTAGCGTCTCAGATGATAGCGAAATAACTTCTGTGATTCTGGGGGATATGTTAATGGAATGGTTTGTAGTCCCTCAACATGACCGTCAAACCGGCCGTCTGTTGTTCTGAGGGTTGAGCACTCTACCTGTCTGCGGTCTACATTTCTGTTGGTGGGGTCTGCTGCACTGTTGCTGTTCAAATTGTCTGTATCTGTGTGTATGAGAAGGGCCTCTGTTTGTAGCAAGTCGTGTAACGCTTGTAATGGCCAGTGTTAGAGCCGAAGTCATCAGCAATCTGGAGGTCTCAGTATCAGAGGGCTGTAGAGCCTTGCTGAAGAGGAGCATTTTTAACTGCATCTCGCAGTCATGTCTGGCTCGGGCAGTTAGTTTAGAACAATGTGGACATTTGAGGGATATGACCCTCACCCAAACACTTAATGCACAATGAGTGTATCAGACGCTGGCATTGCATCGTGGCACTCTGCAATCTTCTTGAAACCAGGGGATCCTGTCATGTTGACTGAACAAGAACTATGAGGAAAAACATGTTTTTTAAACTAGAACAAGGAAATGACTAATCTATTACTAACTAACTACGGACTATTGACTAACTATTTATAATCTATTTTACATTTATTTTTTTTGGTCACTCTGAGGAGAGCGATTTTGCTCCATCTGTGACTGTGAATGGTCAGGAGGAACTGGTGGGACCCAGACCACGCGCAGGCTCACGAACAGTATGAACAGCGTGCGCTACCACACATGCGTGGTCTGGCTGAACCACAGCTCCAAATCTCTGAACTGCGGCGCAGGACAAGCCCGACACCTAGAGTGGAACACCCACAGGGACACTACCCGAAGAAGAAGCATAATTGTTTCACAGTAAATCTAATCATAGAACCATAGAGCTGGAAAAGACCTCAGAAGGTCATCAAGTTCAGCCCCCTGCTCTAGGCAGGACCAATCCCAACTAAATCAACCAGGCCAGGGCTTTGTCAAGCTGAGACTTAAACACCTGTAGCGATGGAGACTCCACTAATGACTATTCCCTACTCCTTGCTCCCCCCATACTGTTCCATTGACTTTGAAATGTTCAGACAAGTGTACTTGTCCCTTTTTCCCAAATGGTAGTACCACTGATTAGACTGAAGCTGACTTCGTAGTTCAAGCGTCCAACATTTGCTAATATTACAGACTAATAATCAAAATAAAGAAATATTAACATGAAACCTAAGGCTGCCTTTGTGTATTCTTAACAAATTAAGTTTTAAAAAAGTTTCTATATTCTCTCTAATCCTAGTCATCAAAGTTACAGGTTTTGTTAACTGACTTGTTTTTTCTCCCTATGGTATACATCGCCAGAGGTGAGAATATGAAAAATGACTCAATCTCTTTTGAAGTGCTGAAGGCTGTAATACTCTCCTTTCAGTGCACTTAATCAGATAAAGCAGGTTAATTTTGATGCATTGTTCCAATAACTTGATGTATTATTGACTTCTTGTTACTGAAATCTTTGAATTGTAAAACAGATGAGTTAAATGTAAATAGCTTAAGATAATCAGGTAAATGATCCTGTAATAAGCTTAAATAGCTACAGTTCCAAGGGGGCCACCTATCAAGATAGATCCTTTCTGGACTTTTCTCTATTGTTTCTTTGATCTGTTGCAATCTTGATTTTAAGTCACAGGATCTACTCACCACTAGGGCTTCTCTTAATTTCCCTTGTTTTCACAGGTCCCATGTCCCTTTCTGTCAGTTCCTTTTCCTGTGATTTCTTTTTCCTCTGGGAGTCAGGGTTCTCTTTCATGACTTAGCCCTCCAGCCAAGTCTCTATAGTCCTCACTTTCTGACATATTTAACTTCTGCTATACAAAATGACAGTCTTGTCTTCACTTGGATGAAACTCCTCTGTAATTAAGACACTCTTCTACCAGAATACAAGCATCCACATATGGAGTTAATTAGGAATAGTAGATGTATTTTAAATTCAGTCTACCTTATTCCAGACTATTTTTCATGTGTAGAGAAACCCTAAAAACACTGTGCACCTCTCTCAGTGCTGATATCTTGCATTCCCTTTGTGCCTCTGTGTTTATATTTCTCCAGAGCAGACACATTACACTTTGCAATAATCTGTTCTACCAACTGATTCTGTTATGTACCCTGCCCAATTATTATTTCCTCCATAAATGCTGCTTGGTTTCCTGCTTTTAGCCATAAGAAAGGTTATTTGTACTGTGTTGGTGTCAACATGCTTTGGCCAGAATTGTCAGAAATGATTGCCTAAAATTAGTTTCCAAAAATCTATAATTAGCTGCTTATATGGGTGGCCTGATTTTGAAAAGTGCAGAGCATCCAGCAGCTCCTGCTGACTTCAGTGTGGCCCACACATAGGCAGACAGATGAGAAAATGGTTGGACTATGATTGCTAGCAGGAAACCCATTGTAATCTAGAAGTGAACTGAGCCCCCTGTCTGTATACCTTGTCATGCAAAGGCAGCAAACGATATCATCAATTTTTAGTGGGATGGAACAATTTATCACTTTCTTTTTTCTTAGCATATCCATTTTTGTATGCTATGTTCCAGAATTTCTATGAAAGAAATAGATAAGAAATGTTCTAAAAGGCCTGGTGCTAAAGCAGGGGTGGGCAACAAGCCGCTCACAGGCTGGACACGATTCATCAGAGTTAATGTCTGGTGGGCTGTGTCACATTACCGAATTGGAGGGAAGCAGCCAGATCGCTGCTGCACCCCTAGGTGGGGGTGTTGGCCCCAGAAATCTGTATGAAAGGGAGCCATGTGGGGTATTGAATGGGAGCTTGTTGTTTTCTGATCCTGTGTACACTGTTTATGTGAGTATATAATGTCTGTGTGTGTAGATCTGTAATCTGTGTGGAAACTGAAGATTTCCCTGCATGTGGTTAAGCATTGGGCAGGGCTGAGCCTGTGGAGCCTGTGGACATGCTAATTACCTGTGGAACAATGGTTCTCAATGGGCCAAAGACACACCCAAAGAATGGGGGCTGTCCTGAGAGCAGCCAGCAGGGAAGACAGAGAGGCTGAGGACCAGGTGACCTGCTACATACTCACACAGCTAGATTAAACTCTTTCAAGACATAAGGGATAACTAAAAAACATTACAAGCAAGAAAAATACCAAGGACAGAATAGACCTATTACTCAATGAGGCAAGAAAGAGAGGATTTAAAAAGAAGCATCAGCAGCAATGAGCATAGTATTAAATGTCTTCTTTTGTTGTTGTTGTTGTCGACACTGATAGGTTAGCAGCAACCATCATTGTAGTTGGGGTGGGAGCTGAGGCTAAAATAGTGGAAGAGTAAGTTAAAATTACCTAGACAAGTTAGATGTCTTCAAGTCAGCAGGGCCTGACAAAATACATCCTAGAACACATAAGGAACAGGCTGACGAGATCTCTGAGCCATTAATTATTCCCCTTGAGACCACCTGGAGGATGGGAGAGATCACAGAAGACTAGAAAAGGGCAAGTATTGTACCTATCTATAAAAAGAGGAATACGGACAACCCAAGGACTTATAGACCCATCAGTTTAATTTAGATACTAGGAAAGATAATGGAGCAAATAATCAATCTGTAAGTACCTAGAGTGGGTAGGTAATAAGCCAGAGGTGGTTTGCCGGCCTGGTCTGTCACAGGCTGCCAGACACTTTATTTACCTATGTGTCCACAGGTACAGCCGCTCACAGCTCCTGTTAGCCATGGCCCGCACTGCTTCCTGCAGCTGCCAATGGCCAGGAACTGCTAACCATTGCCAACAGGAGCTGCGAGTGGCCATATAATTGTGGATGTCCTGGTAAATAAGTGTCTGGTGGCCAGTCAGAGGTAACCCTGGTGACTTGCATCTGGTCTGTGGGCTGCTTTTAATAAAGAATTATTAAATCAGTTGTGGGGGGGTTTCAGTGCTTGACATATCTCTAGACATTTTAATCTAGCTGCTGCATGTTTTTCTATGTTATGTGTAAGTTTTAGAAGCTCTTCTAAGCTAACATACTTCAATTCAACTTCTGGATAAACTTAGTATAGATTCTTTAAAGTGCTGACAAATGGACAAGTAAATACTCTTCTCTTCCCTTTCTGTTTCTTTGATGTGATGTGATGGGGTCATGCAGAGATCCCAATGATTACAAAATCAGCAGAGCTGTCAATTTAGGATGTAATCAAGGATCGCTTATAAACTATGCAATCATTCAATTCTGTAAATGCAAAATATCTAAATAAAAAAATATGAAAATTTAGAAAATACTGGAACAATAATTTAGATGATTAATGAATCTAATCTCTTTCTTTCTCTCTAAAATGCTTAATCTTACACTGTAGTATCAGAATACCTCACATGTATTAAACATTGTGTGTTGTAACTAAACCTTAAATAAGATTAATTTTATATTTCTATTGTCTTCAATGACTAGTCTTTTTAGTCTATGTACATTAAGGATGCTAGGAACATTGAAATTTATAGAAACTAACTGATATCAGTAATGGTAACAATAAGCCAATTACCACAATACAAAGATTCCTTAAAAAAAAAAAAAAAAAAAAAAAAATCAAAGCTATAAACCACGGGATTTGCCAGCAACTGCTAGAGTAATATGAATCATAAAACATTCTTACATTTTCCCCAATCTATTATAACTAGTTAGTGTTATATTAAAGTATTTGATTAACAATTCATGTCATTTGTGATTATTCTTTATGTCATATCCTGTTTTTATGCCAACATCAAGACTGTTTTAGAGTATGTGTGTTTATTATTAAATTCTTTGCTCACTGTACTTGAGAAAATAAAATTGCCTATATTAGGTTATGTCTGCACATCAGAGCTAAATCTGAAATCAGCTACGCAACTTGATCTATGTCAATTGTGTAGCTTAAGGTGAAATAGCTTCTCAGCTTTTGGTGCTGTGTACACAGCAGTGAATCCTTTAATCCTCGTAAAATGAGGGTTACAGGAGTCAGAGTAAGAAGTCCTCCAGCTGAACATTATTTTGACATTATGTCAAAATAACTATTTGTGTATAGATGCAGACTATGTTATTTTGAAGTAACGCTGCTATGTAGATGTACCCTTAGTGAACAGAAGGACATACAATGAGGCAACATAAAATCTTACTTACTAAAAAAATCACATGGATGTTATTTAAGGATACATGCTCAGGCGAGTTGTATAAAGCAAATAGTCTTCCAGTGAAAAGACACAATGACATCCATTGGAGATGCCAATTAGTTACCAGGGAGCCGACTTGATAAATCAAAGCCACTTTTCACATTTACAGATCATAAACTTTAGATTAGTGTATTGTACATCCAGATCAGTTTAATGGGGGAAATGTTATAGGCTATGTTTAGACTGCATTGCTTTTCCAAGATACCTCTGGTATCCCAGAAAAGCAATGCCGCATCCAAGGAAAGCGTCCGCTTTTCCAAAAAAAAAAAAAAAAAAAAAAATCCTTTCGCTATCCCTGTAAACTTTGTTCTGCGAGGCATAAGGGATGTGTCTTAAGAGCACTTTTTTTCCTAGATTTGGCACCTTGTAGATGCACCAAATTTTGGAAAAGCCTCTTCCAAAAGTAAATCATAAAAATATATGCAATAAAATATATGCAATATATATATACACACACACACACACTTTCTCCAATTTAACACTGCAGTCTAGATATAGCCATAGAAGACAAGAGATCATGAATCTGACCTGCTGTACATCACAGGTCAGCAACAGTACCCTTAAAATATTTTGGTTGTTGGGTTTAGTTGATTGGCAATGTTAGTTACATATTTAACCACAAAGTGTAGAAAGAAGTAAATAAGCAGTCTGTAAAACCCATAAAATCAAAGAAATTCAGATCAGCATGGGCTGCAGTTGCTGGACCCCCGATTAGGAGTGTGTTTTCTTTCTTTATCATGTTGATTAATTTTAGATGTCTACTCTTTAATTAATAAACCAGTTGAGCTTGACCACTTGATGTCTTGTTGATTAAGGATATAAACAAACTCAATATAATGCTTGCAAGGTGTTTAAGCAGGTTCGATTTCTATATGCCAACTCATCTGCTTAAAATGAAGCATGTGCTTAGGTGCTTGTTTGGATCAGGGCCAGAGCACTCAGCATTTTGCAGGATCGATAGCTTAATGGGTGGATTGTGCCAACAAAGATTTGTCAGTAATACAAAATGATAATGCATACAGTGGAATTTGTCAAATTATCTTTTCCCCTCTACAGTGATGATCTCTGCATCTTGTAGATGTACCTATTGATTTTACTATTATCTCTGGAGACACATGAAAAGGCACAGAATATGGAAATGTTTGACATATACCTCTGTTTATTCATACTTCATCATACTGGGAAGAAGAAAAGAAAAGAATGACTACTGAAACTCTCATCTAAGTTTGGATGACACACATAGAGGATATACATATCCTGGGAGCTAATGGAACTCTTGGAAACTGAGATGTGTACATTACAAAACATTTTCAAAGTTAGAATAATATTAACAGAGGTACTAGGAAGGAAGTCCACAAAGTGTTGGCCTAGACACCACAGGAAGACATGAAAAGACACCAGGAATGGTGTTTTGCTAGGCTGCAGCTTTATTAAGGTCAAATTTATGGGAACTCTCTGGCAATAACTCATCAAGTGCAGACAATCCTTCCAATTATAATCTGTTCCATTTGGAGAGGGATGCCATCATTTTACACTGCTTAAGACCTTCTCTTGAACAATGCAGAAAGATTTTAAGTGATGATATGTGTTATGCATAGAGGTC